CTCTCAATGCACGCTTTCAGTTCTCCCTGAATTGATGATATTCACCCAAGGGCGCCGAGTTTATTAACAACAACGCTGGCAGAGTCAATGGTGCATTTCTTCCAAACTTGTTCGGATAAGCAAACTGTGCCTACCATGTAAAAACATGGTATAATCACGCCAATTTACAAAAGTAGCAATCGCACGGACCCCGAAAACTACCATCAAGTGGTCCTCCTCCCTGTACTTTCAAGTGATGGAGGCAAACATCTATGAGGTTTTAGTCAACGACTTAGAAAACTGCAACATCATAATACCGGAGCAGCCGCTCATGCAAAGCCAACCTACTGATTGCGCAGTAGTCTGACGGAAGCGGCTGACAAAGAGAGAGGGGCCGACGTCATTTAGCTCGACTTCTCCAGAGCGCTCGACCGCCACATCGTTCTGCTTCGTAGCTTCCAAAGCTATGGTGTTAGGGATCCTGTCCTTGGGTGGATCAGGAATTTCCTGCAGAATCAGTAATTACAGGTTAAAATTAGAAAAGCGCTGTCGGATCCGATTCATTTCGAGTGTAGAGTTCTACAAGGATCAGTCCTGGGGCTGTGTCAATAACGAGATAAGGCTTTTGACTGCCTCGGATTTCTTGCTTTTCTCTTATGTTGCTAAGATGTGGCGAGCGATCGGCGACCAAGGAGATCACGATGCACTTAAGCGAGACCTGGACAGAGCGTATGAATGGTCAATACACAACCTGCTCCAGTTTAATTCGTTTAAGTGTAAGGTGGTCCACATTCTTAACCAGTGGAACATCAAATACAAGCCTGGAGACCGTGTCCTGCAATCAGTCACCCAGGCTGATCTGGGCTTCTCAGAGTAATATGAGAAGGCATTAACGACTGGGAAGCAAAACATTGACATTCTACGAAGGGTATTTGGGCGGTATGATTCCTCTGATCTCAGTTGCTTAACAATCACGCAAAGTAGCCCTGGCATAAGCAAGATCTCACAGCGATCGCGATTCCACAGTGAAGAGCCACAAATCACATCAGCGGGTTGTTTAGTCTTCCACATCAATTTTGGCTGAGGACTCAGATTGTCCAGCGGCCGGTATCGGCGCCTACGTAACGATCTAATAATTATGAGGAACCCAAACCACGTCTGCAGTCACCTCAAGTTGATCATGCAATACAGTCGGCCAGAATGTCGCCGAAAGGTTTACTCTCTTCGTGTCTGCCAGCCATGGAACGTGCTCCCAAATTACAATGTTTCCGCCTCCAAGTTATCTGCGTTTAAAAAACGCTTTGATGTGGTCCAAATCTCGTACGAGATTTAGCCTGTGTAAATTGACACATGATAAAATGTGATGAACGATGCATAACCGGCACTGACCTATACACTCGAGGTCGGCTCTAATCAGCATGCCTCTGTGTGTGCACACTGTGATGAATCCACCAACACGATTTTCATTTTATCGATTCGTTTGGCTTTCACTATGGTGCGGTTCGCGTTCTGGCCATCGCACTGGACTTATTGAGCATATGCTTTTTTAGTATTCAGATGCTTTATTTGTTCTAGAACTTCCGGGGGAAAAACACATAGATACGTCACGGTAACCGAGTTATTAATCATGAGCTTAGGTCCACGAGTTCTCGTTATTTATGTGTATCTCGAACGGAGGTTGCGAACACCGTTGTTGAATTACCATATGAATACAGTAAAAATCAGTCGAAATCGACGTCATTCCGGTTCACTGCGCGATTTCGCTGGCACCAACTTATTAAAGTTAATGGAGAAACGCAATGAGTTAATACCTAGTTATGTCATTTGTGGGTAAGATTGGTTGCCCTCGTAAGCATGTAAGTTTAATTGAAAATCTGCACAGTGGTATGCGGGTGAGGGTACAGCTGAGTGGAGAGACCTCGGGTAAATTTGCAGTTGTCAGTGATGTGAAGCAAGGCTGTGTCTTAGCTCCTGCCCTGTTTAATATATATCTTCATGCAATGATGTCTTGTGCTTTTGATGCCGCTTGTGTTTACGGTGTTCGTGTGGAGCACCGTATTGATGGTGGGTTGCTGAACATCCGTCGTTTCGGTGCGAGACCACTAGTCTGTGAGACAACTATCCTTAGGTTGCTGTTGCTGAGGACTGTGCGTTGTTTGCACACAGCGCGGGTGAGTTGCAGCACATGGCTAGTGCTCTGGCTTCGACAGCGGCCAAATTCGGGCTCACCATCAACACAAGCAAAACTGTCTGTCTCTTTCAGCCTTCACCGGAGGTGCAATCTTCAATATTGCCGCGAATCAGCATTGGTGCTGAAGTATTGGAAACCACCTCCCGCTTCTGCTACCTTGGGAGTGTGATGTCGATTGACCAGCCGCTACACAGTGAGCTGCGTATCCGCGTCTCGTAGGTAGTGGCGGCATTCGGAAAGCTTGAGTACCGAGTGTGGAACAACAATCAGCTTCCCGTTGGCACGAAGCTGATGGTGTACAAATCCATGGTGCTGTCCGTTCTTCTATACGGCAGTGAAACGTGGACGATGTACCGTCGGGATGTGCGATATCTCGAGCGGTTCCATCAGCAGTGTTTGTGACGGATGCTGCGCATTAGATGGGGCGACAGAGTTGCAGACACGGAAGTGTTGTGCCGAAGTGGAATGTATGCAGTGGACTGCATACGTTTGCTGAGACACCTGAGGTGGATCGGTCATGTGAGCCGTATGGATTCGACGCGGATACCGAAACAACTATTATATGGTCAGCTGAGTATTGGGAAGCGGCATGTGGGGAAACCGAAGTTACGTTACCAGGACATGATCAAAGTGAGCCTCTCACGTTCTAATCTTGATTGCAGGTCATGGGAATCGAAGGCGGTTGATCGACGTGCATGGCGCGATCTGATAACGAAGGCAGTTGCCGAAGTTCGGGATAAAGACCTCATGCATGCAGAGAAGAAGCGGCGAGTGCGGAAACGGCAATCGGCGAAGGGTTGTACTCCATCGACATCGAGCGCATGGTGCTGTAGCACATGCGGTCGCGAGTGCCTGAGTCAGGCAGGCCTAGTGAGCCATGAGCGAGGCCACTCGGGACCACCACCGAAGCGACGACGGGTCCTGCAGAGAACGTAGACAGAACCGGCGCAGCGTTTGTAGGTACGCTGCATTCGATTTACTAACCGTGTGCTTGCATGCTAAGTCCCTTTATTTCAGGTGGTGGGTTTTCAATTTTGTCCTAATGCTTTTCTTTCTCATATTATTGTCTACCTGTACTATCTTCTATAAACTTGCACACGTCGCTGAAGCTAATTGCAGTTAATTTCGATAACATTTTCGCGTTTGTGGCATTTTCTTAAAATATATCTTCTGACCTCTTTAACTTATCGCGGATTCGTTCGTAATCATTTTTTCTACGCTCATTTAGTGAAGAGTTATGTCTCCGTATCTGTATGCATTATCCGATTTATTTTATTTCATCTTGTCGTTTCAAGTGATTGGCTGTTGCTTGATATCCCCGGTGTGGCTGCGCTTGATGTGTATGTTGACAAGGTGCCTACCTGTCTATTACCCACTACCTCGTCCATACTGGCTCTAGGAGACAGTTGGTCGTTGCTGGAGGGGACGGGGTGCACGGTCCTTGTGGCCGTGCTAGGCTCAAAGAGTGGTTCCATGCACTCAGTGTGGAGCGGACTACGGTCCAGCCACCGCCTTGTGTGCGATTGATTCCCAAATACAGCGTGCTTGTGTTTGCCTGTGAAGGAGTGTGGGCCGGCTCCGTTGATGAAACGTGGCTCCCATCCACATGCCTCCCGGTCTTATTCCTTCGGGTTTACACTGGATATGTGGTGTGTGGATGGAACTGTGGGTAATGCAGCGCAAGCCACCCATGGTCCCTCTGTATGCGCAGGCGTCCTGTAGCTGGCCACAATGGCAGGCGAATCCGAAACCGGATGCGGCAAATCATATGTCACCATCATATGTGACCAAAATCCGTGACAATGCAGGACTTCTGTAGCAGTGGTCTCATTCCTTTAAGACACTTTATTCGCGAAAATGGTGGCAGAAAGTCTACGAAACGTAGAACGTGAGCAACACAGGGGCCCTAGTTACGAATAAGGACGCTGTAAAACTACATGCTATCAAGACGGTGATAACAGCCAAGACTAAGGTTGTGATGCAAATTACCGTCAGGATCTCCTGGACTGCTCCATTAGACAGTACGAAGGTTGATGGAACGTGGGTGTTGCTGCCCGAAAACGCGGCACTATGCGACGCGTTTCGATCTAGCTTGGTCTCGTTGGGTAGAGATAGCAGGACTCGAACCCGGGACCATTTGGATGTGATCAAATTGACCAAGGTTCAGTTCAATGTGAAGCACGGTCCACAATGAGATTGTGTGTCACAATCCAATCATACATAACCATATAATCAGTGCCAAAGTCGTTTATTACACCGAGGTAGAACCCTTGAGTTAAATGCGATTGTGGGCTAGAGGATGATCGGTGTCGAAGTTTTTGGTCTAGATCGAACCGCGAAACTTAGAATTGCATGCGCCAATAATAACCGATGGCTGTGAGTTTCAGTTCAGAACATTATGTTTATGTGTGTGCTGTAACCTAATTCAAACGCATGTACTTGAAATCTGTGCCACCGCTATACAGGGTGTGATTGGTGTACAGTTGCGTAAGGTAGTGCGTAATACATATCAGAAGTATCGGCTCTGAAAAAGTCTCAGAGGCGCTGTTTTGATGCTGACGGAGAACCGAATGGGTAGTGCTGCTACCCGAAACAATCACGGCGCTCTTAAGTTCCGCCACTCACAGCGCTCTTGAAGGCCCCCTGGATGCAGTCAACTGGAGTGAAAGGCAGTAAGATTAAATTACTGGTGCCTATTACGGTTGCTAAGCAACTTACACTAAGCCCAAAAGTAAAATCGCTGCTCGTTAGAAACCAGAAATCATCCCAGCGCGTCGAAATACGGAGACCCTGGTATCATGAATACTGTGAGTCACTAACTCGGTATCACCGGCTGACTGTGTTTTTCATCGCAGCAAAGAACAAACAAATTCAGCTGAGATAACAACTGACGAGATGAGCAGTGGAAAATTGAATTTTTCAGTTGAAACATGTGCTCATAAGTAAGAGACTTGTACAGCATTTGTCCTTTACTTGTCTGAGGACGGCTCATCAGGTCCTTGGTTCTGCCGTAAAAATTCTGTTGCAGCATTGAGAAGTTGGGAGACAGCAACTACGTTGCTTGAAACCTTGCTCATAATATTTGGTGAAATACGGGAGCCAAATTTGCTAAAGAAGCGATCTGGGTGCCATCTGACCTGCAACTGTCGGAGAGACTGGGTGGAATTGTCTACAAAGCGCAAAACTAATTCGATACGCAGCGCAGCTGAGGAGGATCGATCGCAGCTGAGATGTTTTCCGCAAAAAGGAGGCCAGGGAATTGCATCCAAAGTATCGATGGGTCCAGTTTGCGAGGAAAACTCCTTCCATTGTGAATCAAATGCCTGGAAGTCTACCACCGGTTTCCTGACCTGCCTAGCAGCCATTGCAACTTTGTGGCGCTGGAAAAAATTCATGCGATTAGGCTCTAATGTTGGCGACGGCCTTTTGGGTTTTGGAAAGCTTCTAGGTGGATCCGCAAAAGAACGTTGCTTCGTCTCGTACTCCTCTCGTATGGAATCCAGGTGTGACTTGAAATATTGATTTCCAAATTCTGAAACAAGAATGGAACGGCACATTAGTTTAGAAATAGAAGCTCGTACGCTGAGAAGTATGTGCGAAATACAGGAATTCACATTGCCCGATTTTGATTCGGCTAGACTAGGGGTAACCAAACTGCTGTCTGCGGCGTCAGTTCATCCGACTGACGGACTGTACCGAAGTTAGCTTGATAAAGCATTTGGAACACGAGCAGTTTGACATTGCTTCCAGTTGACATTGCAAGTCGTATTGTCGGTGACCTGACACTATTTGCACAGTAGCTTGAGCGTGCTCATGGTTGGCGCATGTGAGACCTTTACGGTCGCGAAACCTGATCCATCAAGTCCATAGACATACAGGGGCTTGTTAGGTTCGAACATCACTGCCATCGAAGCTTAGCTTACCACATGAGCAATGCTCGCGTCCAGCGTAGCGCATTTGGTGCATGGACGGTGTGTGAACCACCAAGCACCAGGCTCCGATGCATGGGCCACGTCTTGCGTATGCCAGCATACCGAATGCCACGTCGTGCGTTGTATGCGCGTCGAGGATGTGAACGGAAGAAGAGCTGAGGAGGGCGTGATGACTTGGTCAAGAGGAAGGAATGTCCTCACGTCGAACTTCACGTCGGTTGGTGTTTCTCCACTGCCGGAATGGAGTCCGCAGGACAATGAACACGTTTGGTTGGATACACCAGCTGATGTGGCGAAGGGCCGATCGCAATGGCGTTTGTGTTATGAGTTTCTTTGTCTCTGCCCTCTCCTTTAGCTCCCTCCTCCAACAACGACCTCAATCCAATGCATAATGTGAATTTAGCATTTTGTAACTATTATTTAGCTATTGTAGTCTACACTGTTTACTCTTTTACCTATTTCGCATTGCAGCACCTTAACTGTGTCTCACCCTCGGCTAACGTGTATTGATTAGGATGATGATGATGACGACATATCGTACCATTGATAGAACGTTGATGTGAGAGATCACGCAGGAAGCCCATTCATTCGCGCTGCCGTTTACTTCACACATCTGTAACGCAGTTTTCAGTTCGGCAGTTCTCTTGAGGCACGCATCATATAAAATATGGTGTATTAAATCGCCCTGAGTTTGTCCATGGGTTACATTTAATGGGTATTTGGAACGAATTGAAAGTAGTTGATACGTCATTGTGCTGGAAACGTAAATAGTTGAGGTTCGTGGAAGTTGCACTTGTTGCATGCAAATAGTACCGTTATCCAGTTTCACCTTGTTTATTTATTTGACTGCTTTAGAAACATTCGGACTGAGCTTTATAATTGATTTGCCACTTACGTATTACGTTTAAATATATTCATAGTAAGCATTCTCATGTGATATATCCGAGTACAGAAAATACCGACATGCACCTTTGAGGATCCGCAGTTCCAAAGGCCTCGAACCCTCTGGTTTTCTGGTGTTACGACAGAGCTTTTAGTGCTTATAATACAATATCATTCGCTTGTTCAGAACTCGTTTATTGCAACCTTTCTTATAACTAGACAAAAAAGAAACCTGGACGCCGTGTCGCATTTTCCTTGTCTCCCCCCCCCCCCAGATTTTCCGTGCTGCTTTGTCAGTTGTTCGGCCCACTGTGAAAATATCTGGTGACTCGTGTATTAACGTTCATGTGCCAGACCTGTTGTGGTCTTAGTGTGGTCTGAAGTAAACGATTTTCCACAGAATACTAACTGGCGCGCCAACTGGCCTGAAGAGCCTCTTACCTTAAGAGTAAAGCGTCAACAAAATAAAAGAACTACGAACACCCATTTGTATACAAAACCTCCTGAAATCATGAAATCCAAATCGGTTAACAGCCTATTCCGAGATACTGAAGAACTGGAGCGCGTTCGGTGCTAAGACGCGCGAAAGTTGAGTGTCTAGGCGATGAACACCAAACCGAGCAAAAAAGTGTATGCCAAAAGCGTCAGTACAGACGACAGTAGGAACACAACTGATTATAAATGAAGCAGAAATTTCGCAAGTGTTGTATGTTCGTGTGCAAGTGACCAGAACAATGTGCTGCTATACGAAATAAACACAAGTTTCATGGGTTTGTGGGAACACTTCGAAAGGGTACATACACATCTGCAGTTAACTGCGCAGTTGGTTTGAAACATGCGGTTTGTCCGTTTCTGGTGCGTAATAAGAAACTACGACTGCTATTACGTTGAACCGTCTGGTTTCGGACCTTGAGTTTTAGAGTAGGTTAGCCATAATCCTAAGGAGACAGAGGGTAGACATTCACGATGCTAGAACCGCATAAACCTGGGGTGACTGGTGGTAACGACCCACACAATTAGCAGCTATTTGCTGTGTGGAAGAACGTGCCATCAGAGAGAGGGGTAGGAGTGCAACAGAGTTTCTGGGCACAAACGCGTTGCTAATGTGTAGAAATGCGAGTTCCACTTTCTATACATGAGCGACGCTAAACAGGCGGGTAGAGAAAAGAGTGGCTGGAGAATTTTTTTAGTCGGAGAATGTAAAAGACGGACATCCACATGTCGTATAGCATAGCTTGAACTCATTTTTTGACTTTGTCCTAGTCTGAATGCCTGATATACACAAGTTCTAAACACTGACGCCTTGGTAATTCAGTGGTCCAAACATTGGATTATCATAATACCCATGTATCCTAAATACTACACAATAAACCGATTGGTTACAAATGGTGTTTTTGAAAATACTTCAAGGGATTGATTGGAAGGGTTAGTTTGAAACACTCGTGTGAATGGATTGCGACGCACAATCGCAATGTGGACCACAATTCGCAGTGAAGTGAATCTTAGTCAATTCAATAACTGGGACCGTAGCTAAAACAAATTTGAATTGGGTTTTCCAGTCAGAAAATACAGTGCTCCGTGACACGTTTCGACCTTGTTTGATCGCATCAGTTAGATATAGCAAGCATCGAACTTGGGACCATTGGGATGCAATCGATTTGAACAAGGGTCAATTCGGCCAGAAGCTCGGTCCATATGGAGACTGCGCGTCGCCATCCAATCAGATAATGAGTGCTTCGAGATGACCCACCAAACAGGCAGTAGCCGTTGTGTCAAGCGTTGTTCGTGTGGTTAATCGGCGGTTTTGAGTGACAATCTAAAGTTCCCGGGTTCAAACGCCCTGTCAGCTGACCGTGGATTAGTGTTGCGAGCGGTCAACACCAATGTTTGTCAAACTATTTTCCGTTGGTCAACCGTCGAGCATCTTTGTTTTAGCCTTTTCTATACGCTAACCAGAACGCGCTGTACATCCTTATGTGTGGCTCTTGGAACCCATTTTACCACTAGAAACAACGACTTGCTACGTTTAGGTTCACACACTCTAATGATTACTCATATGCACTATTTCACTTACAACTCACCCACTTTTAGTACTCTCTCCCTCCCTACAGCTTGCGGAATTACAATCGGTTACGAAGTTTCGATGGAATGATAATCGCCAACGCTCGGTTTATTTATGGGGGAAATAGCTGGTTGATATATCGCAGCGAACATGATTCCTCTAGCCAGTAAAAACAACTCATTCAGATCGTCAATGAATGAAGCCTGTACATAATGAAGGGACCAGCTTCACCGGATCGTGCCTCGCGCTGCTGAGAAATATGGCATTGATGTAGCTATTTATGTATTTCAACTAGACACACACTAGATACACACATGTTGATGAAAGGTAACCGTAAGGTTTTGTAAAATATGGCATCAGACAACTCGTGTAAGATTGCAAGACTTCATAGTGCTGCAGTAGTCGACGCTCGGGCGTAAGTGAGCGTAATACTTACGAATTATATTGGCGCAACTAAGTCCGGATAATGTGGTCTACAGGCAAAAACTGAGTCCAACTTGCTGAGGAACAAACACTGACAGGTGGAACAGCACCGAGAAACTCATTTGTTAAGTGGAAGGCTTCGAATCGGTCCATATGCTGGCACATACAATCTCAGTTAGATCGGTGATTATTTAGTTCTAGGTAGGCCAACCGATCCCAAGCATTAGGACAGGATTCAGGACAGAAACGTTTCTGCGGCTGCGTACCATTGGGGCCAATGGTGAGAAACTGCCCGCATTCAGCTGCTCTCTTACTGCGACCGACTTTCAAGGTGCCAGCGGTAAGAACGTAATACAAGATCGAACACGTTGCATGAGTAACCCGAACATTTCCGTCATTTTTGGGCCAGACTTGGTGTGGAATTCAGAAAAATCAGTCCTCCCAACGCGTGCCCCCTCCCACCGAAGATGAGCAGATGCCAGTGAGGAGACACCAGTGCAATATCACGGTGGAAAACGCATTCAGAGCAGGTGCAAACCAACCGTCTCCACCAAGATGAGGAACTGCACTGATAGTGATCGGAGTGTGTGACACCCATTTACGTCATGCGAATCTGCTACGGGGCTATTCAAGCAAGCTAAAGCAAACAAGTCGCTGATATCCCCTGACTTACCAGAAAAGTAGTCTTCCCAAGCATACTCTTCGTCGTCATAGTGGTAGGAGTTTAGGAATTCGTCATCCGAAGCACCCCCATCGGGAACCGAAGCAGTTAATGACGACAAAGAAGTTGACTGACGGGCCTTTGACATCACATCCATAAGAAGCTTGGAAACGAAAAAACAAAAAGCGATGGCGCGTTAAAAGTATATTTGTACACGTTCACGTAATTCACCTGAAAAACTGAGGAAAAGTGTCTTGATTGATGCAACACTGGTCGATAAAGCTAACAATGAATGTGTAGGAGTGGAGCTCTCAAAGGGGCTGAAAGTGCTACAACCGGATGAGCATATACATCGGCAGGAAAGATTAAATAACGGTGTAAACCGAAGCCAGATTACCTTACTGAAAGACATTTTGATGAGTCTAGAGTAGTGAAGCAAAAGGTAATTTAACACAAATGTAGCGACAGTAGTGACTGAATGCTCATGGTCGGCACCCGTAAGCGATAGAAAATCCGTTGGATAGAACATGCAATGAAAGAGTGGCAACACGCATGCAAAGTGATCAGGCACACACGACGGAAATCGAGTAGAAGAGCGGACGCAGAACGCGAACACACGTCGCAAGATTAAAGTGCGCGTAAAGGAACTAGTTCACCACGACCTCACCTTATCGCCCCTCATTCGCTGATTTTCAGAGGCCTCGAACCAGAGCACTTGCAGCATTTCCGCAGGCGTTCGTCCATCAGGGGTCCGGATGGATAGGAGAGTGGGGTCACGTTCCAAAAGAGGCTGAAGAAGCTCACAACCTGAAGAAAAAGGGCAAAATACACCGAGCAGACAGAGAGGATTGCAATCGTTGAGCAGGATTTCATTGCGAGGGGCCACTTCAAACAGCTTTCACTCACACATGTCATATGCAATTCCTTTGGTTGTTTTAATCCTTTTACGGTGCTTTCTTTCAGAACGCTTTATGCAACTTTGCAGTAGCAAAGAGACTGCAGTGTCCCCATTCGCATCTTCAATGGAGGGAGACAGTCCAATGCGTAGCAAACATCTGCAAGATGAAAGTGAGAGAGATAGAGTCGGCTACACGATCAGGAAACATCCACCAACATTCAACATCGAGTTTACGAAAAGAGCTTAAAGGATTTAACGAATAGTGTATCGACCAACCAAGACCATCCGGATGGGGAAAACAAGTGCCCGTGTAAAATGGAGTCAGATGGAAATCATGACTACACTTGGTGCTACTGGAATCAACGCGCAATACGTCTGCGTATAGTGAGTAATTGTCAAAGTTTAGCAATTGCGGAACTAACGCTCAGTGGCTGGCTAGTAGCCGAAGTATCGAAAAGCCAAACACGTCAGGCAAAACTGTATTCTAACCAGTATGCTGTACAACGCATCGAGCCAGTATTCTAAATTAGGCCAATCAATGAGCGGGTTACTGACACACCAACAGACGCAGGCAACGAACAGAAAGGGCTCGGTACATTGGCCGTGGGAATGCCATAGTCATCCAACAAAGCAGAAGGCGTCAATGATGACATATGAGACGGAAAACAGCGCAATGAATAACACGGTATTGGCAATGCTGGAGAGTCACTAATGGTGACCAGTGGATCTCAAAGACAGGATAAGTAACAAGCACTGCGGGTGAAATGGGTTAGTTCTTGCAGCATTTGAAGGATACTGCAGTGCGTGGCAGTGGCCTAGACATACTTTAAACAAGCACCATAGGTGGATATAGAGGTGGTTAACGGGAAGCCGCGAATCGCAAGGTTGAGTGTAGCGTGGTGAGGTCCAAGATTCACAGAGCAGAGAAAAATGAGCAAAGACTTTACGGGGGGCTAAGAACCATTTATTTACCAAGCCCGTTGGGCTGCCAGGCGCAGTGACCGAAAATGTAAAAAAATGAAAACATTTAGTACTATTACCGATAAAAGCAGGAGTAAACGTTCTGCGCATTTTTGACACAGCAGTTCTGCTTTCTGCGTAGTTACACAGCACGAGTAGATACGGGATGGTAAATCTAACGTTTCCCCAGGAGTGGACTGGAGAAGTAATGATAAGTGAGAAAATTTAGGTGACTGAATGCCACAACCAATGGCTTTTTATGTATGATTGGAGTCAGTGCGAAGACGACTGAATAAAGTAGTGATTTCCAGGGGGGACATACACTAACGGAAAATATTTCAGTGACGTTAAAGGCGGCTCTACTATGCTGCCAGTTTTGAAGAATGACCTATCAAGTTTGTGCTACTGCTGAGCTGCAGTACAGAAAGGCACACATTAGTTGGATCGTAGGGGATTATGTAGACCATTGGCAGGTCACATATGCAATCGGCGATATTGTTCACAGAATAATCCAGTGTTTGAGCTCCTGCTCGTGTGGGAGCCCCGTTTGGGTTCCTCCAGAGCAATGAGCTGGTGCTTTAGCCATGGCTGCCAGCTATGAAAGACGTACTGGACACAGAGCATCTGCCAGAAAATGGCGAGATCGATGTGTCCGGGCCCCGTCTCAACAGCCCGAAGTGTTGGTCACTAGTTTCGATGCACTTTGGGAATGTCTGGAATAACCCAAGTAATCCTGAACTAGTAGACCCAAGTCGAGTTCAGAGGATGATCACTGCAGTGCTTGTGTTTCGTGTCTGTATGACTAGATATTCTGGTGTCTTATGGGGAGTTCACGTTGAACAACCGCAGAAATTGCGTTGTCCACTGAGCTACCTTAACTAAGTCATACTAAAGCAAATTCTGGTCGGAATTCGTCCGAATCCTGCGCCGTATCTTAACATCATAAGTAACAAATAAGAAATTTGCATCATCAAACTGTACGGAGTCATTTTTAAGTGTCAAAAACAAACGTGATTCTGGGGAACACCACCCTCGAGTTGTATGGGGTCGGACAGAGAGATCCGAACCTTGACCACCGATTGCAACTGAAGGTGGAAGTTGGTGATCTAACTCACGAGACGGCCAGCGCCTGCATAATAGTAGAGCCTGGAAAGAGGAATCCGATGATTTCGGCCATCCAATGGTGTTACGCGTAGAAAGAGCAAATGCTTAACAAGTCCCATAGGATGGCCAAAATGAGAACCACAAAATGGTGAAAATAAAACAAATTGATAAAATGAAAATTGATTTTGTGGACTCACCAGTGTTCACCTGGTCATACATAAAATAATCTACTTCGATTGTGTAGGTTTACGCTGATTGTGCAACGTTGGTCACATCATATCGTCTGTCGATGTACAAGGCTATAACTCGCAATTATATATGTAATTCGTCGCAGTCTCCTCTCAGTTAGGCGGGTTGTCACACGTATAGAAAAACACCAGACAGCTGTTTCGACCTTCTCAGTCCCGTCAGCGATGCGAGTTTCTCGGACCCCTGTCGGGTTCCGACCCCATGACTTTGGAATGGCAGCAGCTTGTTCAACTTTCATCGCATTATATCGTCTATCGAGACACACAGGCTGTCTGGTAATGTACGTGGGTTAGAGCAACGTCGCGTTTTTTTAAACACAGGTAAAGTGGGGGCTGAAACAACATAATTTGGGAGGTCGTTCCATGGCTGGCGCACAAGAGAAGAGAGTAAAATTTCTGTCCATATTCTAGCCGACTGTACTGATTGGCTAACTTGAACTGGTGGCCCCCCAAATTCGTGTTGTGGCTGTTTTAGTAGGTGGAGGCAGACGTGGTTGGGGTTCCTTAGAATCTGGTAGACCATAATGAGGTCGCCACGTAGGCGTCGGTACCGGCCGCTGTATATTTTTAGGGTCTTCAGTCTAAGTTGATAAGAAAGATGGAGCAACCCTTTAACTCGCTTCGTGGCTCGTCGCTGTGGAGTCTCGAGAGCTGCGAGATCTTGCTCGTTGCAGGGCAGCCAGGCCTGGATAGTGTATTCCACATCAGACCGCATGTATATGTGAAGCAACTTCGGAAAGACAAACGGATCAAACTACTCGAATGCTTCCGCAGAGTGCCAACGTGTTGGTTCCCAGTCTTTATCGCTGTCTTAGATTGTTCTAAGCAGCCAAGATCAGCCTGGATTAATACCCAAAGGTCGCGCCCCTCTGTGACTGCAGGACATTGCCTACAAGCTTGTATTTGATGTCAGGCTGATTAAGAATGCAAACCACCATATACTTAGACGAATTAAACTGGAGCAGATTGTGGATTGACCATTCATACGCCCTGTCCAGGTCTCGCTGAAGTGAATCGTGACCTCCTTGGTCGCCGGTCGTCCGCCACATCTTAAGATCATAAGAGAAAAGCAAGAAATCCGAGGCAAGCAGGCGCAAAAACTCATTAGTACACATGAGAGATAGACGAGTTCCCAGAACTGATCCTTGTAGAACTCCACATTCGACATAAATGGGATTGAAAAGCACGCTCCGAACTCTAACCTGTAATTGCCGATACTGCAGGAAATTCCTGATCCACTCAACGACAGCATCTCCAATTCCATGGCTTTCGAGTCTTGAAGTGGAATTTTGTGGTCCAGGCGATCTAAAGGCGTGGAGAAGTCAAACAAAACGATGTTGGCCCCTCTCCCTTTGTCCGCCGTTTCCGTCCAACTACTGTGTGCAATCAGTAGGTTGGTTGTGCATGAGCAGCCAAGATGGAAAACGCACTGCTCCGGTGCCATGATGTTACAGTGTTCTAGACGGTCGACTAAAGCCTCAAAGAGGATTGTTACCACCACTATTGAGAGTACAGGGAGGAGGACCTCTGAGTGATAGTTTGCGGATTCTGGACGATTGTCAGTTGAAAATTGGCGCGATTATACCATGCTTTCACATGGTAGGCACAGTTTGCTCATCCAAGCAGGTTTGGAAGTAATGTGACAATGGCTCCTTCAACATTGTTACCGTTACCTTCAGCGCTCTCGAGTGAATGCCATCGATTCCGGGAGAATCTTAGGTGCGCAGTGAGAGCAGTTTATTTAACGCTGATATGGTAATAGAAGCGATGTCAGTGAATGCTGAAATGTAGGCTTTGGATACAGGCATGGAACAGTGGCGGGCGACTCGCTGAAAGGTCAGGGCATACTGCATCCGTAGAGTGTCGGGTTCTTCTTCATCACTCAGTCAATCCGACTGCCGTGCTCCATTTTTCAAAATTTTTTAACATGCTCAAGTAGGAGCTTTTTGATGTTGGCAACTTTACAAACTAAATGTTGCGGACATATCACATCAGAGCCCACGCCAGTGTCGGTTGAATGGGTCCATACCCACTGTGTGATTAGTAAATACGTGGTGTGTGATCCATATCGACGGAGGCCGCGCTGCTCGGGAGTAGTAATATTGCATTTTGTCAGATGTGCAACCAAGGTTTCGGCAGTGACAGATTCCATTAGACAGACCTGGGAGAAAAAGGTGAGTGGTAGTCTGAAGGTTCAGTCTTGCATTCCCCTTGTGGATTCAAGTAATTATTCCAAGCTTTCACATGAGACGAAGCTGGTTTTGATCTTAGGACCGGTGAAAGAATTGTGCCAAAGATTCCACCAGTTCCAAGGTTATTGCTCCCAGTTCTTTTGGACGAACAGTATCGACTTCAGAGGAACAGAGACATCAGCTTTTGCAATACAGCTTCAGCAGTGAAAGAGATGTAGGCGGGACCAAGGCTGTGAAGCAACAAAAGCTGGAAGCTCAGTTGACGGTAGGATGCTGTAAAGTGTGAGAGCATTTTGCGTCCGCAATGCACTTGTTGCTTCTGTAACCATTTTGTTGGGCCACCAAAAGTCCAGAGAGGAGGAAATCCCTGCCCCACCTTATGAAGACAACTGACATGCTTGTACGGCAATTTGTGGTTAGCACTGAAGGAATTTGCTATAGTCTGCCGGTGTACCACTGTTCCTTTTGGGCAGTTAAATGCAGTTGTTGTCTCTGGCGTCGTATAAACTGCATTCGAGTTCTTCTGAGCGTTTTCCAGACAACATTGATTTCGTAGGAATTTTCCCCAAATGCCAGTCACATTACCTTTCATCGCTCTTGATCATCTGGTACTTGTTTAAAGCATACTACTTCCTCCAATGTCAGCTCAGGTA